CAAACAATATAGTAAAATAGGAAGTATAATGCAGCAATTTAACCATAAAATGTGAAAAGAATTACTTATATTTTGTGAAAAATTGGAAATATTATTTTTATTTTTTACTATTTACGGTGACGTAATCACTTTAACCCTAACCCTAAGCCGATAGGTGGGACCGAGTACCCGTCTAGCAGTTTGCAATGTTAGCGGCCACATGACGTGACGTCACCACCTACCCTGCCACCTATCGGCTATTTACATGAAAACCTACCTCCAGCTCCGACAGAAAGTTTGTTGTTGTAATCAAATCAGCTGTCTAAGTTCTTTACATTATATTTATACTATGACATAGAGGTAACAATGAAGTTTGGGTTGAGGTTAGCCGTAGCAGCAATCAGTGCAATATGCGTAGTTTTTATAATGTCTATGACGAAAGAGACTGGAACACGACAGCTACGGCAATTACTGGGACGAGTTTCTCGGCATGCCATCTCAAATAACTCGATATTCTTGTCCCACAACCACATGAACAGGTACGGTTTGGTATTCTAAACTTTTTAAGAAATCGTCATACTTTGAAAGACCGAGTGTAAATATACAGTAAAGTAAACAAAGTGATTATGACTGAGTACAGTGTCACTGTCAGTGAAGCAAGTTATTATTTATTTTTATTTTCTATTTTATTTATTATCTATCATACCAAGTATACCATGTAATATTTTAAAAACCCTATTGTCAGTATTGACTTTCAGTTGTATTACCCTGAACTCTACATGTACCCAATTTACAGCCTTGAACTCTCTAGCACCTATGTGTGCTCTAGTATACCTAGGTTGAGAACACCTCTAATGGCTTTATTTTGACACACTTGCCGCTTAGCCCTTATGCGCTTTGTGAGACTGCTGTACCATATACTGCGGTCATGGTGCCTATTATATCACGTTGAAATTTCTGATTGTTGATAGATGGTGCTCGCACAAGTTGTCTGGCCGGTTAGGATTCGGGCCAATGCTGTTGGCTGTGATTACACTGATAAATGGTATTTTACCTTCAGTCGCGTTGTGAGAGTGAACTCGGATGATGTCATACATCTGGCGTTTGTCGTCTGTGGTAAGGATCGTGTGGAAGAGTCACTTGTCATGGTAAAGTCAGCAGTGCTTTTCACAAGAGCTCCTCTTTCCCTCCATGTGATCACTGACCCAGAACTGATCGCCACCTTTAACACTGAGGTAAGAAACCACATACACTTTGAACAGTGTTGCAAATTACGGAAGACGACACGCACGCATTCATCCTCCGTCATTTCTGTTGAAGTGTGCATAGCCTTTACTCATTTTCTGTTACTATTCTGAGATGTACTGAATTTCGTTTTTCTTCGCCAGCTTGAAAAGTGGAAATCAGACAGTGGGAGATTTCAGTACAATGTCAGTAAAGTATCATTTCCAGCAGATAGAGGGAGCCAGTGGCGAAGTTTGTTCAAGTTGTGTGCCGCGCAGAGACTATTCCTGCCTGTAAGTATGCGTAATCCATCAAGCAGACACTTTTGAGTTTAGCTTTGCGAGTGCCTGTCAAAGTATTCATTGGAAGTAAAGTTTAAATTGAAAGATATATAGTAACATCATCACATACTAGCCTTTTGCTATTAATGACAGGTTTCCATCACTGCGGCACTTGTTTTGTAATTGCAGGAGATGCTGGCGGAAGTCGATGCTATCCTCTACGTTGACACAGACACTTTGTTTCTCCGTCCAATTGATGATCTCTGGAATTTCTTTAATCTAATGAATTCTAGCCAGATGGCAGCACTTACTCAGGAGCAAGAGGATGCTGGTATTGGCTGGTACAACCGATTCGCGCGGCATCCGTATTATGGCAAGCTAGGTGTGCACTGTGTTCTGAGATGCTACTTGTTTCTTTTCTCTAGTGAATTACTACTACCTGTTCATCAGTGATATATCATAGATGTACATAGCTAATTATTATTATTTAACTAGTTTGGTTTTTCCTTCTATCTTCATGTCAATTCTCAAGCACTGATGTTAAAAACACAAGTAATGCTGCTTTTTTGCAGGTGTTAATTCAGGTGTGATGCTCATGAACTTAACACAGATGCGACAGTTCGGTTGGACGAGGAAAATCACTCAGTACTATTTCAAGTACAGACACAACATTACCTGGGGTGATCAAGACCTCATCAATATCCTATTCAGCTTCTATCCAGGTAGCAAGTTGAATGCACTTTACCTTATATTAACGGCTAGCCATCTGTAAGTCGCATTTCAACGTAGAATGAATCCCGAGATAAAATTGTGAGATATTTTAAAAAGCTGTGCAGGTTAGGTAGTCGTTAGGGTGTTATGTACATAATTAGTAGTGACCTCAAGGCATTTTTATTGGCTGCAGAAAAGCTGTACGTGTATCCGTGCGAATGGAACTTTCGCTCGGATCACTGTGTGTACCGCATGGTGTGCCAGTCAGCCCAAGATAGAGGCGCCTCCGTCGTCCATGGTGTCCGCAGCGCATTCCACTTGGAAAAACATATGGTATTCAAAACTGTATACCAGGCAATGCTCCAGGTTAGTCTAAGAACTTTGTATCGCATTTTTACAAGCTATGTGTTGATGAACTGTGAGTGTCACCTTGCTTAACTTGTTACAATTGTTGTTAGTAATTGTTTGCTATTGTTATACGTGTTCTATCTTATAATTTCCAGGTAAGTCCTACCTCTTTACATCTTTAATAAGGTGACAGTTTTGGGAAACAATCTGTTGTCTTTGTCAGTGTGTAATGTCATTGGTTTGAACTCATCACCAGATGGCAGTAGGTGATCAATTCTGCAATATGTGTAATGCATGGCACTTTCTGGTACGTTTCCAAATGCAGTTTGCTTTCTTCTTCAGTATAAGTTTGGAGATGACCTTGAGAGGAGCTTGCTGGACCCGATTGAGAGAAATCTTAGTAGGCTGGCGAATACCAACTGTGGTAAGGTGAGGCATGTGTTCACACAGAGGCTGAACGAAACCATACGGCAGTCGAGAGCTTCCAAGTACCCTGGCAGCTAGTGACAGCTGTGTGACAGTAGTGCACTAGTCATCAAGGGAATCATGGAGGACTACACCCTGCCTTTCTTACCTAATGAATGCTGCTACTTTCATGGGATTTCATTGACCCCAGGGTTCTCCAAGCTTTTTCATTATAGCATGGCGGATGCTGCCTTTACGGTCCTAGTTGCAAATCGCCGAAGGCTATAAGGGGGTCCGGGGGCTATGATATTTAGCATGGCGGCTATGATATTTAGAGTGGCGGGTGCATTTTAGGATGGCGGGGCTCGACGATAGCCTGGCGGGCCGCCAGGCTATAAGTGCTCTTGGAGAACCCTGGACCCATCTGCCTGGAGCGAATGACAGGTAGATCTAGCTAATCAACATGGTGATTGTAGCATTCTGAAAACGCTGGCATGTAAGCATGAAACTCAGTTAAAAACTGGTCTAGGATGACGGACGTACCAGCAATATTCAAGGGAATGTGCTTAATGCTCAGATGGATAAGTCCATTCAGGAGGTTTATCGATCACACGTTGATAGTGTGAAGAGAGTTCAAAGACATATGAAGGTTTTAAGTAAGGTCCAGCTCTCAAGTTAAGACATACATTGGGTGTGTTGCAAACTTTGCTTGTGCAGTTATTAACGACAATCACAAAATAAACAATCGCTGATCGTAGCCTTTTCCTCTCCAGCAATAATAGTATGAATCAGACTACCTTTGTATCGGCTAGTTTACTTGAACAGTGATTTATATATGTATGCAGTGTTGTAGTATTTATTATTTGAGAAGTTCATTCCCTGCTTATATGGCACAGAGTTTCTGGCTATGACTCGTTCCTCCGTGGGGTTGGAGCAGAATTGGTTGTAATTTTATAGCAGGGTTTTTGAGCAGAGATATGGTTTGAATGGATGGAAATGTTCAAGAATATCGCTCTTGAGAATGCAGGGATAGGAAAGGGTTAATGCACACCTGAAGAATGACAGAAGTCCCATTTTTGAATCAGAATATGGGATTCACGTACTGTCATTATAATGTGAACAATATGTAAAATATAATAAATTATTTTTAACTTCTTTTATAATTTCATAGCTATGTAAATACAGAACAATCTCCTGATTGTATATGGGACCAAAACCTCAGTTCTAGCACCCCTGACTCTTAACCTATTAGTCTGGTTCTACTGGTCATCATCTTCATCACTGTGCTCGTTATCGTCATTAAGATTATGGTTGTTGGCATCATCCTTGTCATTCTTGTCACTGCTGCTGGTGCATGGGCTGCTGCAGGTTACAACGAATAAAAAATGTCGGTTTATTTAGTGGTGCTAATAACTAATAAAATATAGTGGGCAAGATAAACACAGTAAACACCAATTTGTAGTTGTATAATCAAATAATTCAAATGACTAATAGCAATACAGTTGTTATCGTCGGTAGTGATTGGAGTATAACAAATCATTTGTCACGTAAATCTTGGTTCCAATTAAGTCTATATGACGTCTATTAGTCCGTAGTGATAATTGTAATATAAATTAATACACTATGGTTTTTTAAATGAATGAATATATATTTACAATATTTAAAATAGAAAGTGTACTGAACATATATCGACCAATCCTGTCACACACCCGATGTGTTAGACCTTTAATAACATATATATTATATTATATTATATAACATGTTATATTAAATATTAATTAATTCACTATTGAATTAGTACATATATCTTTGTGTAGTGTGGTGTCTGTAACAGATATTTTTTAGGCATTAATAAAGAATATCTACCCGTTTAGGTGATGTCATATGTGAGGCTGCATGGCTGAAATATTCAAGGGACTTTATACATAATCCCATCGATTGTAAATAGGTTAGCTACAAATATAAGATAAAATGTTGTTAATTCTCAGTGTCATCAAGATGTTCATGTATGTTGTCCCATGTGTATTTATCTAATTGTAATATATATAGGTGGTAAAGGATCTGGTTAGATTTACTATTTACTACCCCATTCACAATGTCATGTCACAGAAGTCATAATCTATGGAGTCGAATCTGGTGAATCAAATGCTTAGTTTGTGTGCTTAGGGTTAGGTTATTGTATCTTGTTTATTTTTGTTAAAGCTCATATGATATACAGCATACCCTCCATATAAATATAGGAAATTAAACATTTTTTACTCATTGAAAATGTATGTTTTTTATATTATGATTTATATTGAACAGCAAGTCTGCAGTCCCATCTAGAAGCTTGTTGACAATAACGCACATGTTGTATTTAACAAAGCCAGATCACATGCATTATTCATGGTGGTGGTCTAAACCATTTTACTGTGACCATTGACAAGGGTGTTGATTGTTAAAGCTTGTGTCCAGTTACTTCTAAGTGGCCTGAAATCCTACTGAATTCAGATTGATCCGATTGACTGATGATTTGTAGTGAATGTATATTGCCACTCAGGTGCATACTAACTTCATCCATGGAAAGTTTGATGTAATCCCAAAATGAACGAATCGGTAGTAGAAGCTGTAGACTAGAAGAACTGTGACATAATAAACTTCTACAAAAGAGTACAATAGATTCTTTATACACATGTATATTTTATTACACTAAACAAACGGAAACACGTATATCAATTGCTACAGTTACACTGTAAGGACCAATGATTACCAAGAGGTTGGTGTTTACTGAGCGGCAGACAAACACACCCACTGGGCTGCACATAATCAGGCATTTGAAGACCAGATCTTTATCATAATCTAGACAATGTCATTTAAAAAATTTAGGGTCCTCCCAGTTTTCCGGGACCTGTATGAACCCTGTTCGTATCACTGTAGGACTATCGTTCATTGTGCTGTCCATCAGTTTTGGCTCATATTTCCGTTCCTAGGTCAATCCGTGTAGAGCCACCTGTAGTACATCTGCTGCCCTCTGTAGTCCATATTTACAAATTCATCATGTTGTCTTGCCTCTGTGTTCTTCATTTACCCGTTCATCCACTCAGCTGTTCTATGATCCATGGTGCTAGAAGACACGATAAAAATACTTATTTATCCAATACGACTGTAACATTAATATGGCATTTAATTGATCACCAATACATTATCAAAACATTTATGCAGTTCCACTCAACATCATTCAGCAAAGGCAGATTTATTTCTGCATTTTCCAGTCAATTAGAGTAGTCTATATTAGTATTATTACTACTAGTACTTATGACTATAGTATTAGTAATAGTTTATACATATGAGTAGTGGCTAGTGAGTAGTTATCGTATCGAAGATACGATCAAGAAGATTGCGTTTGGCGCAGTAACGTTGTCGTGCACGACTTGGTTCGATCTCTGGGAACCTCAACAGGGTCGGGCTTCTCGGGGCGGCCAGCGACTGACGTACATTGACCTACTCAGACGCGATACTGGCCTGCAGTCAGCCGATGAAATTCGGTTAATTATGCTGCACAGACCATCCTGGCATGCCATCACCATTCTTCCTAAGGAGACTCGACCTGATTGATTGATTGAGTAGTGTATCACTGACGCAGAGGGGGTCGTTGTCGTATCAGGTACTACAGATATATACCCGAGGTAGTTTTAGGTTGCTTAGTATAGTAAATGTTTATATTTTTATATGAGGTATGTTTAGGGTTAGGGCTAGGGTACACTTTGTGTATACATATATGTAGTACCTGATTATGATAACGACCCCTTGAGCATCACTGACACTGACAGTGTCAGTGACATTGAGTAAGTATCAAATCACCTGCTCTAACAACTGCTACAACCAAGACAAACTGCTGTATGCTTGATAGCACCTGGCGTTTCGCCTCCTTCTTTTCCGCTTCAGGATCCGCCTTAGCACCTTTAGGCTCTAATCGCATCATCCTGACAACGAAGAAGTCTTAATGAGAACGAATCGAAGTAACTGATCAAACTTGAGCAATGTGCGTTGAGGTCAAAGTTCAAAATGCGAGAGTTGCGCCCCTAGCGGGTGACGTAATAAAATAGTGCAATAGCACATAATTAATTACGCCTAGTTTTACAAATATTTTATATTTTCCGCGCTATAAACAAAAACATTGTGCACCGTACCAAAATAATGGCAAAATAGGACCCCTTACTGACTTTCTCACTACATATGGAATATATTTATTAGTAGCGCATTTGGACATGACGTCATACAAACAACAAGTTGAACTACTTTTATATACCAGCGGAAGACATTTCGTCAGTGTTTATTTGTAAACGTTGTTTTCATGTGAAATTAACCATGAGAATTAATCTAAAAGGGGCCAATCGGCTGCACCTGGAGAACAGCAGAGCGTACAGATGTTGCTGCTGTTGTCATGTCCGCACTGGAACCATTTTTCTAGGAATATGGCATATGGTATTTTTTCAGACTGTTTTCACTGACTAACTTCCCTTTTCCTACTCGGCTACTGTACAGTGTACTGACTACTGACTACTGTCACAGTGTCAGTGGCAGTACTGACCACTATTTATAATAATTTATAGTGGCTAGTGAATTGTGACAGTATTAACGTCTATCCTGCCTCAGTGACCATTCTGTATATAATAACTAGTACTACTACTAGTACTAGTAGTACTAGTAGTAGTAGTAGTAGTAGTATAGTGGATGGCTATCTAACTAACTGGTAATACTAGTATTAGTAATACTAATAGTGCTCTATAATATGGGTCTATGTCCCCCAGGGTACTGCCGGAACGTACCCTGGTCACTATGTGATATGGTTAGGGTTAGGGAGTAGGCGTAGGCGACTCCCTAGACTCGTTAGTGGAGTAGGCGAGGTACAGTCCGGCATATTAGATAGTACCAGGGTACGTTCCGGCAGTACTCCGGGGTACATAGACCCTCTCAGCGGTAATAGTGGTATCATGACATTACGTCATTAGCTAACAACTGTCGGCTCCAATACTTTTAGAGCTCTGGACCAGAGACGTATTGGATGTTATTACGTCTGACTCTCAGCTTGGCTTAGCTCTTCCTGGTGTAGCCCCAGGAGCGAAGGTGCTACACCAGCAGAGCTAAACCCAGCCAGGCAGTAACATGAAATCCATATAACACTGTACCAGAGCAACTAACAAAATTGAGGTGTTGAGTTCGGTCAAAAGATCATATAAAACAAAGCTTCTTCATGCTACACAATCATTTCGTAGACTCCCAGCTTGAGTATTGTATAAACATTCTCATTTCACTTTTAGAAATTATATAAACACCTTAGAAAGAGCCCAAAGGACTGTGACCAAGCTAGTTCACTTCATCAGAAACCTTGACTATAACACAAGATTGGACATGCTAGGTCTATATTCATTGGAACAGAGGAGAGTGAGATGGGGATCTAATTGAAGTGTACAAAATTCTGACAAGCAACAGGGGTAGAAATAAGGAGAAAAAAGAGATGATCCATAAGACCATCTAGTTTGAAATTTAGATGGTCCTCCTAAATTTCAAATTGTTCTCTAAAAGTAATGCGGCGTGGAAGCGTAAGAAAGAGATTTTACATGGTGATAACATGGTTTAATTATTTACCTACAATGAATGTATCAAACGATACAGTAATTGTTTATTGTAAATGGGACCAAAATATGCAATGGTCCATCGGACTATTGACTTTGAAAATCTGATGGTCCTC